ACAAAATATTTGTTCCATTGACTTATATATTACTAGCGTAATTTTATTCTTGTCTAAAGAACTTAGTGTAAGCTACATTTTGAATATTCGTACCCAATATATTTTATATACTTACAATAAGAGCGAGTTCACACGGCGCGTTGCGTTGCGTCGTCGCAACGCATATATTTTGACGCATTGCCGGCCACACTGGCGCTGCGTCGTAAAACGAAAAGAGTACAAAAGAAACTATACCTACCTAATTGAAACTGAAAATCTGATTTAAAAATATTTTGAAATTCTGTTGTTAAATCGATTGTTTCTGGAGCATAGTTTTTATCGTGGTAGCCCCACATTATAGTTGTATCAAGGATACAACATAAATGCATCGATCGAACACTGATTGACCAGAAAGGGAGCTAATGCTAATTTTATTTTTAAAAAACGCGGTACTCATATTCAATACAGAAATTCTCGATATCCTAGGGTTAATATTAAAAAGTAAAAGGACCTAATAATAATACAAGTCGGCTTAGTATTATTACGATACTACATACAATATGAAATAATGGTACAAACACGATAATTATACTACGAAATCCGACCCTGGTTACGTCGTGTTATGACGTTTGTATGACACATGCGCCTTTTTCTTGTATGAAGAAGTTATGAGTAAAATATTTAGATGGACGCATCCTTCCTTTTGAAATCATTGATTTGTTCGCCCTCACAGCTAAAAGATGTCGAAAATTGGTGTCGCAACGAATCGGTTAACGGTGAAAAGGTTTGAAAAGATGTTGGACCGCGAACATATAAAATATTCTTTATATGAAACCTGAGCTCGAGATTGGCAAAATGGTAAGATTAACTACAAATAGATTCAGCTCACCAATAAGCCTCTTAGCGCGACTTCCCATTGATCCGATAGGTAAGTTATTTAAGTAAAGTAGTAAGTAAGTAAGTATAAAGTCGATATTATTACAAAATGCGTTTTATAGATTTCGGAATAAAGAAGTCTTTCTTAGCCACGCTGCTGCCAGTCTTGGCGAAATTCGACGTCAAATTCAATCATTCATTTTTTCAATTCAAATCAACAGACTGTTTTAAACCTGATACTAATTTTAAAAATACTTTTTGTATTATGGCGGTTATTAACAAAGTAACGTTTGTTTAATACAGCTGTTATAAAAAAATCTTCTTTAATCCCGAGACTATCAATAAATCATGTTTTGTAAAAAGACGAATTGAGTTTTATTAAAAATTTAAACACCAACTTGTAATTTCAACATTTTTATTAAGAAAACGGAAACAGTGAAAAAGTACATAACTGTAATGCAATTGGTTACATTTCTATAAACAAATATTTTACAGTTAAAGCTTACGAAATTTTTACTCTGTTTATTAATTATCAATTAGGAATTAAATAATGTAAAAACAACAATTTATAGATAGAATTAGTTTTAAACGGGAACAAAAAGAAGCTAAATAAATAATCCAAAATATTATTTTCAAAAATACATATTTGGTTAGTTTAATCTTATTTATTGCAATACCAAAGAGATAATTTTGAATATTGTTTTAAAAATACTACTTAAACAGAGTAAAAATATAGCATAACTCATTTAGAAATAAGCAGATAAATAATCGTTCATATTGATACATATTATAAATACACAATTGTCCCACTTTTGAACAAATGTGTGCTGTGTGTAAATATGGTATCCAACAGCGATAGGCCAAAGGGCGTGGTGTTGTATGGTTGTTTCTATATCATTAACTAATAAGACAATTGTTCTTAAAATAGTTTTTGTTTATTCATACATTTACACTTTGCCAATAATAAATAAAGTGTTATCATTCCAGTTCATAGGAACCAAAAATAGTTTTTTTTTCAGCTGAATAATTATTTTTAAGCATAGTTCATTCGTAATTTATTATTCACATAAATGTTTCAATACAAAGAGACATTCATGAAAAACAAATAGTGTCCAAACATGTACATTTCTATAACTATTTCAAAGCGAAATATTTTCTACCCCAGTTGACCGGCCTCTTGCATAGCTCCCAGACCAAAGCAAAGAAGTATGACATATCAATAATTTTTGACACGTGATTATTTACTGCGTTTACCATAAAATGGTTGACCTGAACTAATGAACTCATATAGTGATAAAAAAAGATAAAGCATAAATAATAAAGTTTATCTTCTTACAACACTGCTACCATTTTACCATTTCATTATAACATTGCCAAAATTCAGTCTCTTACTTTATGATGGAACAGCTCATGTTATTATAGTGTCACAATAGACGGAAACACCCATAGCTTTTACCTATTCAATTATGCTCTATAATATGAACATTAAAAATTCCAGTTACTTCTGTAAATTTATTTACATATTTTACAAGGAGAAGAAATAATAAATAATATTTCTATACCTTTGATATGAGCTTCCTTTCAATACACAATATCAAATATCAACAAACTAACGACATACAAGAAAACATTTATTTTTGAATATATAATTTCCATGTACATATTATTTACAAATAGCAGTGGTGAATATTTCTTGAGATAACTATAAAAAAATTTAATAAGACCACTGTGCAAATAAAACGTAAGTATTGTTAAAATAATTTGTTATTTAGAATATATTTTATTTTCTTAATATTTAAAAAATTATGTATTTTAATCATAGGTTAAATATAATATAAATAAAAAAATATATAGTAAAACAATGAATATTATAGTTTAAATTTAAAAGATATAATATGTGACATAATAATAGCAATACAATGGAAAGGAATCGTTTAAAGGCTAACAAACACAACAATTTTAAGACATTTATTTGAGATTGTTTTTTTTAAAATATTACTCATGCAATGGAAATTGTTACACAATCATCACTTATAAATTATTCATGCTCACTACAACTGCACACCTTGTATTATGATAAATATTCATCATATTAACAATTACATAGCAGTTACAAGGAAATTATTATAATAATGCCTATATTAATCAAATATTTTTATGGTTTTTATAACATATGAAGTTTTTTTAGTTTTTTTTCTCGACTAGCTTTGTGTTAATAACATTGTTAATACAATAAGTTATTAAACTTTTGAGAGCATTTTCACAAGGCACAAATACGAAACTTCTGCCTTATGTGGCAGCTAAATCCCTTAGCATTATTACTTCTGTTTGGAACAAACATGAAAGATAAAACATTCAAACATTGCAGTTTGTTTGTGCAATATCTATCGAACTTAGAGTTGTCAGGGAAGACCAAAAATGAAAATTAGAAGTGGGTGTGATATCACTAGAGTAACTATATATTTAATTTCTTTTTATTTATAATAAACGGTAGTGAGCAAGAAATAAGTACTATTTTATTGAAATGCTATTACTAGTTAACCCAGTATTGATGTTTAGAATATGAATATTTGCTTGCAAATGTGATAGACAGAAATTGCTCATAACAAAGCAATTTAATCCCTTTTGTATTTTTGACATTTCTGTGTTGATAAAGCACCATTAAATATTGGATTAAGGCAAAGATGACTAATAATTATTTTTAGGAAATAATTATTCTTTTATTTTTATAATTTCCTATGCCGTATAAAAATAAATTTGTAGTATTTTGTGAGAACTGTCTCAAGTGTTCACAACATACCTAATAATATTTATTTAATTGCGTACAAAAATATGAAAGGCCTAAAATTTATCAAGTAAATAAAGTTTCAATAAGGAGTATAGTGCAATATTTGGTTAATAAACAAAATTTTGTTGGAAGAGCCGACTTAGTTAACTATATTATGGTTAACAGACACTATAGACACTTGATTTACATGAGTTATAATATTAACAGTTATGTATAGTTATTTGTAGTAAAACTTAAAAATTACATAACAAAGTAAGACGCGAGCAGCTAGTTAGGAAAAGAATCTTTTATTAATATGTGATTACATAACGAAACTACAGCACAATAAACATCAACAAAAACAAAATAATAATTGTGTGCCATGTACCTACATACAGTTCCAACTGCTGGCCTGGTACAGACTCATGCCGTATTTAAAGCTTGTTATGCATACAGAACTAATGAGATGTTTGTTACACAAGAATATAGCTAGCTAGCAGAGAAGCTTCTAATGGCGGGTTTTTTTAACTTTATTTTCATGGAAATGCACAATATAATCTATTACATTTCAACATTTTATTTATATATCTATTATACTATGTACCAGGCCAAATGTCCACATACTAAAAATAACTCGAACTGAGAATAATAAAATGATTCCAGATAGGACCAACATCAACCTCTTTTTTACCTTTAATATAAGTGCAGATGTGATAAATGCTCTTTAAGCTCTAATTCCTTTTATTTACAAAGCAAAAACAAGATAATTTTAATCACAGCGAAAACGCTAACAAATTACATTTATGCTCCATAGCACATTACATTTACAATATGAGCGAGATACTCAACGTTGAAGCGTAGATTCGCTTATTTGAGAGAGAACAATCGTAACTCATCAACATCACATTTGCAATGTCCAAATGTAAAACATATTGAACTATCTTGTTTCGAAAATGACTGTTTCGAAACATTTTTTAACATCTTGACCTATGACGGCTCAAGTGTTTGGGTGTTACATTAATCATCAAATTAGTTTAAAAAGCACATAAATCGCACGGAAATCGCGCGAATAGGAACAGTTTTATTACATTGCGGTCAATCGCTTATCTTCACGAGACAACTTCGATTAAAAATTTCCATAAGATACCATGGTAGCGCAAACTTACTTCACGCACACAAGCTCATTGAGCTCACAGCTACGTGCAAGCATTAACCATCCCAACTGTACAGCGCGACTATTCAACTATACTTCCAAGTTCACTTAATCACTGGTTACAATGGTCACAAATATTTATAGCACTTAATTGTAACTTCCATTATTGATATTACACTACACTGTACGAGTGTTCCAAGCTTGAGTGGGGTCCATGCAAACACGCTACTCGCTAAAGTAACGTACTTTGCCATTACCACATCGCACCACATCTTCCCAAGCTAAAAATTTAAACAAAATTAAAACTTAGTCCAAACAATGTAAAAGAATAGATTTCGGTGTGTGTATAAAGCATGTGGTCATTAGTAAATTATCAAAATAACATGTGGAAAAGCCACACTAGAAAAGTACTTTCACTGCAGCACAACTGGTTTGGTATGACTGATGAATAATTATTTTCTCACAAAATAACAGCATAAAATAGCAGCATGATGATGCAATGTTTTGTATGGTAAACTCATTTTATCGGTGATAAAGTGTTTTTCATTTTATACTTAAGGAGTGATAACCCATCTGCATTTTAACTCTTAATTGTAAAAAGATGTTCATGGACCACAGCATCCACTTACTATCAGATTGGCTCCTTTGTCATGCAATAAGTATAAAAAATAATGTACTAAAAAGTTTCAACAGGTATGTTGAAAATCCTGGGTTGACAGCTGGAAGATAATTATTTCAAGCATTGACATTAATTTGTGATCATATTTATAAGAGGTATCTCACACCCTATGACCTGAACTACACAAAAGGTGACTGAAGAAAATGTACACATCACAGTTGTCTATACAACCAGAATAACTATAATTTATAAAAACACCAATCGGTGAATTCGCAATCATCTGGTGGATCTGGATCTGGTTCATCAAGACATTGAGGCACTACATTTATAACTAGGGTAAGGTAAGTTAAGGTTGGCAATGTAATTTTAAAATGAATAAAATCAATTTTACGCATTTTGTACACCGACCAAATCCTGAATGATCTGAATTGATCCAAATGTACTGGTAACGTGTGACGAAATGTATTAGTATGATTCGGTCACGAGAAATGAACGGTTGACACATGTCTAGTAACGTCAAAAGAGATGTGTTGACATTTATACGTGTGAATTGACATGTTAGTGGCTACACGCCCACTCCCCTGTTATATTGTGTATGTATTATAGTATTCTATGGTAATGATATATAAATATTGGTATCATTATTTTTTATAGATATTATGACAACCAAGCATTCAGACCACCTGATTCTATTAATGCTGACACAGATATCGTTGGCTAAGAATTAAAATGCTGATTGTTGTCAGCTCTGGTGAGGAGTAAGATCGAATGCCTTCTTACCAATAAAAAGGGACAATGTCGAGCAGGATTTGCAACTAGTCATGTGTACTATGGGGGGGGGGGGATTAGAGTAATATGGTAGCGGTAGGGATACTCATACTTATATATACATATGATATGGTGTTGGAAGTAATAGCAGAGTTTCAGATTTTCTCTGATGTATTCCACAATATGTCAAAGGTATTTTGTTTAGTCTGTGGGTAACTAAGGTAAGTGTTGTATATTTCAGACGACGAGGGCAAGATTTCAGATATGCATCGATAGTTTTTTTTTTCATAAAATAATAGTGGCAATGTAATAAAAGCTCTCCTAATGGTAGGCTAAATAAATGGTAGGCTACTGTAGCCAACAAACAGATATCTGCAAAATCCTAAATTAAGAACGCCAAAAATGCGTCATCATACCAGAGGACTAACATGCTTTACATTCTGTAAGAATACCTAAGCAATAACGTAGTATTATATGAAATACTGAAAAACTTTAGGAATTGGTAGAAGGGTAGTACCAAGTGTCCTAGGCGACAGTATAGTTACTAAGCCAAGCGAACGTAGAATACGACGTAGTGTTATTTTTACTATGAGTAAAGACCTTTTCCTGATGCGGAGTTCATCTTGTTAGATAACCCACCCACTGTTTTGTGCGGGTTCGAAGGGTATAAAGAATCAAAATGCAGATGTATTGACACCCCTGAGGGCCAAGATCGAATGCCTCGTTTCCAATAAAAAAGGATTACCGGTTCTCTACACTTAGCATACGATACATAACAGCATTAAATTGCTATTTTATGCTGGTATTCTGTGAGAGCATCATGGTCCTCACCTATTTGTGTTACACACTATAAAATACCTGCAGTGTGGTTCTACCACGATAAAACGTTTCAATATTAACTGAAAATTGTAAAAAACTGCGTTTGTCAACCTGTCTATCAAGTATGGCAACTATAGCAAATATCCTCCTAATGATGTAATCTATGGTGGGCTATGTTCACTTGTGGACTTTTATTAGGCTGTAACGGTGAGGTTTATCATCCTTGTCCTGAGAGGTGACAAAGCACTTCTAACCTCTGATTGTGGTTGGATGCAGGTATCGATAGACTGCTGTAGTCATTTACCATCAGGTGTACTCCAAATTTGTGACGTCAATGTTATAAAAAATAAATGTGTCGTGTACAATGTTGGAGTAGTAGGGAAGGCATTCCTGCATGACAAGTGGGTAGGTGTGGTGTGAGCTGACCTGCGCCGACGTAGTGCACGAGCTGATTCAGCTGGTGGGCGCGACGCGCGTCGTGCGCGGCGAGCGGCGGCGGCACGTATCGCAGCGCGGCGCCGCCCGCCGCCACGGCTACGGCGCCCTCCAGCGCGTCGCGCACCAAGTCGCAGCGCGGCCGCCGCGCCGCCCCGACCAGCTGCTCGTTTATGTCGAACCCGAACGTCACGCCGTCCATGTCGCGCGGCCGCGACGCGCAGTCCAGCAGCATGACGGCCGGCCGTCGGTCCGACACCACGTCCGGGGCGGGACAGGCGCCCGCGCGTGCTTCTGGACGCTCTTTTCGGGGCTGCCTAGGTGCCGTTTTGTCGCGTCTCCTCGTGCGTGCGTCCAGCGCCGGATAGTCTGTGTCCCCGGGCGCTTGGGTTTCGGGCGGCGGGTCCCGACGGTTAGGGTCGGCCGCGGGCTCGCCCTCGGCGTAGAAGTTGCACGACTCGATGAGGTCGGGTATGTTGTGGCGTGTGCGTGCGATGTCCGCGTAGGAGGCGTGCGCGGGCTGCGGCGCGGCGGGTGTGGGCGCGGGTGGCAGCGAGGTTAGCGAGTGCAGCGAGTCCATGTCGTCGTTGGAGTCGTTGCTGCGGTCGGAGGGCGGCGCGGACTCGCGGCGCGGGCGCGGTTCGGGCGCGCGCGTGCGTCGATTCGGCTCCGGCTCGTCGGGGCGCCGCTTGGGCTTGCGCTTCTTGGTGACGGTCTGGAAGTCGGTCAGCTCGGTGTCGTCGCGCAGGTAGAACGTGTCGCGCGGCTCCCGTGCGTCCTCCCCCCACGAACGCCGCTCAGCTTTCACGGGCTCAGTTCGCGGCACCGGCTTGTCCGTGAGATCCGATAGCTTCGTTCGAGACAGCTCCTCCATGGAGGTTGCGCGCTTCATCTTATTTTCTTTATCCTTGCGACGGTCCGTGGAACGCTTCTTGCTAGCTTTGTCGTCGGAGTCGTCCTTGTGTTTCGCGCGCCCAATTTTGTTGCCGCGCGCGCTGTCTGCGTTCGACTCGATGAAACGCAACACTTCGTTGAGATCCTTGTTGCCTTGATAGCCGTCGATCTCCTGCGACTTGATTACGGTCTCGTTTTTGGAAGACTTTTTCCTCCTTGGTTTTTTATGTTGACTAGATCCGGATAGAGGCGAGCTGAATCCCTGTACCGCATTGCCGTTTTCGTCTAGTGATTTCTGTAAACGGTAGTGCACAGTGAATATAGGCACCTGAATAAAAAAGGAAAAACAACTATTAGAAGATTAGTAAAGTCGTTTCAAATATTTTTTTTAAAAATGAAGAAGTGATCTGACAAGATCAAATGATAACTAATTGAAGCAACATATAAAAAAATGTTTTGGTAGGTTATTGATATTAGTAAGACTATAAACTAGGATTTAAATTAGTTTATACTTAATGTTAAAAACATTAACAACAATCACAGACAGTAGTGGTAAATAAAAGGTTATCAGGTAACTTAGTGCAGTCACACACAACACACGTAGCTATAATAATATATAAGGTAGGGGAAAAAGTTTCTTCGTATTTTATATACAAATGCAAGATTTTTTATAAAAGTTTAATTACATTTAATTATAATATATGTGTGCCATTTTGTTCGCTAACTTGTTGCCATCTTGTAGGTAGATGACATAATCCTCGTTGCTGCAGAAAACTTGAGACTTTTTATTTAAAAATTAAATAATATAATGTCTTAGTATAAAAATATATAATATAGCTGCGTGTGAGGTCATTCAAATATTATCGTAGAAAAAATTGTGATATAAGACATATTATGATATATTTATTTAGGCTATAACTTTGCACACGTAGCTATAATATATAAAAATAATATTTATTATTATATATTATAGCTACGTGTGAAACGGGACAAATACTATGAAAGAATATGTTTCGGATGAAACAAAAAAGGTTTAATTTTGTCTTGCTAATAATTGTGTTAGTATTCGAAGGTTGTATGTTTAGTAATCACAATATCATTATTTATTGTTTAAAAAAAAACAAACACTATACTATCCATTTTCTAGAGCATGAACCCGGTTCTACCAGGTTCCAAAAAAACCGAGCATACACGGTTCCTTGTTAGCTAAAAGAACCGGGTCCAAAATTATGATACCCGGTTCTTGTTCAATGGGGTAAATTTAAGCAATTTTTTTTTATTCGACTTATGTTACGGTTCATCACTAAAATATTGAAATACAAAATTTGACCAATGAAGAGCAACTAAACAGAGAACTAGAGAAATTTATGACTGGGACCAATGGTGATAGTGCTGTTTTAGACGACATTCTCAAGGTTACCATTAAATTTGAAATGACTCTTTTTGAAAATGGTGGATCAAGAGGTCATAGTGACCTCTCACAGCAGCTTTTGATAATAATTTTTTTTATAGAAAAAGGGTGACAAGCGAGCACACAGTCCACCTGATGGTAAGTGGTTGTAGTGGCCCATAGACATCTACATCTATACTCGTTTGCGAATCAAAATGGAGATCCGTTGTCAGCTTTGAGAACTAAGCTGGAATGCCTCTTTTCCAGTAAAAAGGGTCTCCGGTACTCTACACTCAAGATACGAAAAACACAGCAGCATTAAGCAGCTATTTGACGCTGGTATTCTGTGAGAGCGTGGTCCTTCCCCGGTCGAGCCGACCCATTCGTGCTACAACTATACAATTAATATAGCTGCAGCATGGTGCTACCACGTAAAATTTGAAGACGATTCCTCATTAAACGATAAAAGCTTAAACATTATCACATTTTTACGCTCTTATTACGAAAATAAGAAAGGCAGGAAGTGTTGATTGTGACTAAATCTAATTATTTTTGTTTGTTTGATTTTATAAGAAAGAGAGACAGTTAGAAAGTGTTGATTTTTTTATTATTACAAAAGAATCCCGGGACTGTGAGAAAATAAATCTCGTTGATTTTGTTTCTTTGATTTTATTTCATTCGTTAATTCTTTGGATTGTTTTTCTAAATTTTATTTGTATGAAGCTCAGAAGACAAGCTGGTTTTTTGTTTTTTCATATAGAGATGATTTTATAACAATTAGAATTCGAACACATTTATTTCATTAAATACACATCACAATCATCATTAGCACCAAATTAATGTAGTTATATTTTGCTCTAAGGATTTTTTTACTGTTAAGAACCGGAAAGAACCGGGTGCCCAGTTCTGTTCGAACCCGGAACCGAAAAAACCGGTTCATAGATACGGGCCGGTTCTGCATCTTCTACCATTTTCATCATAAGCAAGTAGCATTATAGACCTAAAGGGAATATAATATGTAAAGCGCCTATCTGGGGAAAAATAAATATATTTTATATAGGGAATTCCCCTATTATTTAAATTCCCCATATTTTACCAGTAAAAGATATCTCACTTAAACGGGCTGGCTATGATAAATTGTTCCGGACGTTAGAAATAATGTCAAAACTGTACGTCGAGATTAACTGTGGAATATACGCCGAAATTATTTGACATAAACCGATCTATTTAAGAAGATATAACTCTGGAATTGCAGCCAATGTAAACAATGTGAAAATTTGTAATGAGCTACTAAACTTCACATTTAAATAATTTTCCTAAGAAATCAAAAAATTTGGCCTGGTGGCCTCCTTTGTGTGCTTTGATGTCCTTTATTAATTATTATCAATATCAAAACTCGGAAAAAGCCTAGCGTACACCAAAAGCAGAAACAGAATCTCTGTCCTGGGAAGAACCAGCAAGAAACCCAGCGGGACTGTTTTTTTTTTAATAATAGCTTATAATCATGTACGTTACAATTAACAACACAAAACAAATTAGAAATAGCTTGGTAGCGATCACCCTTCCCAGGGGTTATTATCATCCATAAATTCCTTAATATTATAATAACCCTTTTCATACAAACTTACTTTAATAAAGTTTTTGAACTTTGTGTGTGTCAAATTTTGTATATTTTCTGGGATTTTGTTGTAAAAGCGTATACATCGCCCCAAGAACGAATTACTGACTCGGTGGAGTCGAGTAACTGGTACTACAGTAGAAGTTCATTAGTCCGGCATCCAACAGTCCGGAATGCCCGATAGTCCGGCATCGCTCTTTGGTTTTCGGTTTTCACCAAAAGTGGCTAGTAAAAAGGCTACAGTGCTTCAGAAATTATTGATTTCCATATCATTAGAAATAAATTTTATACTAAACGCCAAGAGTCAAGAAAACAAAAAGACATTCGTGACTTTTTTTAAATCTAAGTGAAATATGTTTTACAGTACGTGTATGAAATGTAAAATAAACTTTGTTGTATGTACATACATACATATTTGCATACTGTATTAGTAGTTTAATTATTAACCTAATTGTTCTTATAATTACCGCTAGATAGACCGGAATATCGGATTTCTACTGTACTAGCTTGTGTCTGTTCCTTGTATTTACAGTATTTATTTTTGCAAAACAACTTTTATTTTTGTGTACCTACATTACATTTTCATAAATGTATTGAGAGGCCAGAGTTAATACATTAATATCCTCACATTTTTGTCTGAGCGACTCTTTTGGTTTTAATTCATATACTTATTGCTTTAATGGCTTTCTTCTGTAAAACTAATATAATTTCAGTGTCAGACGCGTGTCCCAGCAAAATACCATACGACATAATGCTATAGAAATAGCTAAAGTAATTCTTTTACTTAGATAATGCAATTTAACTAAGTAAAATTCCTTGTTTACAAAATAATCTAGCTAATGTCACTATTTTAGAATTCAGATCTTATAAAGCCAGTTGCCAGTCTGAGGGTTGTAATAATTTTGAAAATATGGTTACACAAAAAACTGATGTTTTCTTCAAAACTAAGGCAGTTGTGTTTTAGGCAGCTATATTTTAGACTGTAATTTACAGAAGAGAGGGTTATTTGGGGTAACTTTCTTAATTTTTGTGTTACAGCACGCTCTGAATCTCGATTTTTTTTTTGATAACTGTCACTGGTTTATTACATGTTTGTCGTTTTTTTTTTTTGGGACACCGAAATACAATTTTTTAGTTATTATAGATACGCTCAGTCATTACATATATTACAAGTGAAGCAAGAACTAAGGGTGGGAGTTGCGACGACGAACCGTTTACAAAGACTGTTTTGTGTTCTGCGACGACGAAACAGTTTTACGTCCTGGGTTCAAACAGTTTTCGTTGCACAATCCAGTCTTCGAAATACTAGGTGTGATTTTTTATTTACGCCTATGAAAATAAAGCCGAGAACGCAATGATTAAACTATCTATCTCACTCATCGCGTCATCTTCCTTAACGTTCCGCGTTGTATTGTAGTCTTTGGTTTCGCGTTCATTTACAAACGTAGACAGAGACTAAACAGTCCTTACAATAAGAAGTGAACTTTTTGTCAATGAAATACAGTCGCTAATATTAATGGTAACGCTAAGTCTGTCGCAGCCAGTCCTAAGCCTGGAAAAATATGAAGGGAAGTAGTAGCGAAGCCTCCATAGAAGCCGGGCTTGCACTATCAAACTGCTCAATCAATAATATCAACTAATAAAATAACTCGTAAACTGTTTCAAACTATTTCAAATTTCCCTCGCGCTCCTCTGTTCTACACAGGTCATGTGACCTCGTAGGTTTATTATGTAACGTCAACACTTGGCAGATTGCTTTCAATTCGAAATACACTGATTTGTGTTCTCTCTGTCTCAAAGCGAACACGCAATGGACTGTCAAAATTAATGAAAGAACAGCAATATTATGGATAGACCCCGGTCGCGGCAAAACTGCGCGATACTGTCATAAAAAAGGAGTTGAGTTGAGCGATTAGTCGTCTCTCTCACACGCGTGGGCTTTATACCGTGCTTTCGAGAAGATGATCGCTCCCTTTCTAACCTGTGGCAAAATGTTCTATGATGAAATATAACTACGATTATTTATATCGCAATTAGTATGGAGCGATAAAGCTGGGCTTTCGGTGTGGAGTAAGTCGAGAGCGGGGCGCGCGGGCGATACGTTTGCAAGTTCACTTCACATTTCAATGTTTACTCTGTGTGTTTACTTGTGCGAATGAATAATGCGAGTTCAAAATTTATACTTTTAAAGATTTTTAGTGAAAATGGAGGATAATAGTTAATATATAGATAAGCATATATTCCTTGCGATGAACTGAAGCGTGTTAAAGTGCTAATCGGCGAGGAAAAGGTAAAATCTTTAAACTTTATTGAGAAAAAACAGCTCATATCCACGTCGAAACCAACGCCTGATCTGTGTATTTCTTTTGTTCATGTATTGTATTGTATGTAAAAATCTTTTTATTTCGCTCAAGCAAACCCAAACGGCATTTTTCAAAGCCACCGAAGATATGCAATTGTTGATATGTCATACAATCTATCTAGCAGTAGTATGCCTTCTGTGTGCTTTGTTAAACACGTCCTCGACACCACCGAATATGAAACTGAAGAGTGGAGATAGATCAAGATTGGTGTATTTTTATAAAACTGAAAAACAACAAAACCACATCTTGGGCTTTCCCTAGTTTGTAGCCCTAGCTTCGCCACTGAAGATAAGTTCATTTCATAGTCAAGTAAAGCCGATCGATAAAACGAATTATTCAGTTTTATCGATCGACTTTACTAGACGATTCTTATATAAGTATTTCAAATTATTGAAAGTTTCACCTGCAACCATTTCACTCAACGAAAACGCAAAACTATTCTATATTGGATAACTTTCGTCCTTTAAGCCATCTTCAAACCAGTTGCAACGACAACCGTTTTCGTCATCGCGAAAATGGTACGTTTCGTCCGTGAAAAACCCGCCACGACATGTTTCATATTTCTTTGTTTAGCAGCCTGTCAAAGTTGTCTACTGGACGAACAAATGTACCTGGTTTAAGGGTAAAATCATTTGTAATCAACTGAGATTACAAATGATTTTAAATACATATTGTTGAGCATGTTTTTGGCTTGGTTCCACTTTCCTTTTTGTGTCGGAGTAACCTGCCTTAAATATTTTATATATTTTGTATATTTCAATGATACAAACTATAAATAATTTCATTTCATTGTCAATCAGAAATTAATTCATTAAATCGTTCTTCACAGTAACATAGCATCACTAAACTCAATAACTAAAGTTTGCATTGGTTTGTTTATAAAGGTTTTTTTTTTCTTTTATAAATGGAGTTATAGATATTATAGCATAGACAATTAAAAAGTGTAATGTCGCGACGTACCTTACAGTCGTCGGTTGCGGCTGTGGTCGACCCGTAGCTCGGCCTGGTCAGGGGTAGTCCGTTGAAACTGCTCGATACCACGCTGCGAGACTGATCACAACAAAAACTTTAATTACCCGAGGGTGACAACACTCATTAGATTCGACAAATATTTCGCTATATGGTAGACTTAAAATTAATCTGTATACCTTATTTTAGCGACTCTGCAGAGTCCACTACCCATTTCTCATTGTATAGTCCGTCGTCGTAAATATTTATTTATTTAATATTCTTTATTGTAGAAAAGAAAAACATGCAATGGGGAATCTTATTCGTGACAACAATTTCTTCCAGACAACCAATATTCTGTGTATAAATAATATAAGTGTATAAATAAGCCACATTTTAAATATAAAAAAAAAATTAATAAAATAATTTCACATTCTGAAGTCTACTTCTAAGAGCATAGTGTATTAAAAAAATTAAGAATCGATTTTAGAATGAGAAGTTATTTTGTTCTTTTCAGTTCATTTTAGCCAGCTTTTACTTTTTACTAAAAGCTATTTTGAACCTTTTTAGTGGACTAAGGATATTTCTTATCGTTATCATAAGAGCAACTCGGGCGGACCGGAGGGGAGAAGCCATACAAAACTGTCTGTCACACAAAAACAATCGTCTGTCACTACGAAACTCACATATGAAAATTAAAACAATCTAACAGTTTCACATACACACAGGTACATTATGACAGTATCGCTCGGTGACAGCGACACTTCGATACACATATTGTATCAGGGCGAGTAGCCTGTGTTGACGAATAAATCCGGAACAACACGACCGTTATATTTGTAATATTGAAGATTAACCTCTCAACCCCCTAGCGGTCTCATGAGACTGCGGCCAAATTCCGTCAAATCCCTACCGGTCTCATGAGGTCGCCTAACCCATAAAAACTTATATATAGAGACCACTTCTCTATGAAGAAGTTTGGTATTATGTAATCAATATAAAATACTCTATCCTCTAGTGCCATAAAAAAACTGTTATTCTATGAATATTTATTTATAATCTACGTTTATTTCGTACGCCATTTTCGCGTGAATATTTTTGGATTTTTCTAGTATTTTATTAGTGTTTCAGTATAGTGTTTTATTATAAAATTGTAATGAAAGTTTTTGTGTGGATATAATTTATCTTTTTACGTAAATAATTTCGAGTAATATATATTGAAATAATTGTGATTTTCACGCTGCCGACATTCGCTTGGGTTTTTTTTTTGTTATCAAAATACAATAAAATCTTTTTGTAACGAAGTAAAACCTAACTTTTGTTTAGACCACAAGATAGAAAATTTTGTACAGATTTTATAATGCTATAAAAGTAGTCCCTAAATATAAGTTTTAATGGTTCTAAGTGATGTGAGTGGGTGCGGTAAATCCCGGCAAATCCCGAGCGGTCGCATGCAACTGCATGGGATTTTTATGACACTTGAAGGGTTAAAAAGAAGTAAATAACAATAATATATTTTATTGTACACATAGGACCGCGTGGACTTGTGCCTTGACAAAGGGGAACGCCTGCGTATGGCTACTCTCGTCCGATCCGCTGGTGGCCCTTATTGCTCTATGATCATTATTAATGTTGTCCAAATGGGTACATTAAAAATCTCACTACTAATTTACCGCCCGGTGATTTTTTTTCCAAATTCATCAAAATTGCCAAGCGTGGAGATTGATGGAAATCCTTAACTTGGGATTTGTACATCAGGGGTGGTTCAGTAAGGGATAAAGACTAATCAAAAAATGTGCGAATATGTCGAAACCAATTAAAATAATATCTCGTCAAAGATTCCATCTCAGACACAGAGTAGAAAACCTGATAGCTCGGGCTAAGAGCTAAATTTCAGAGTACGCGATAAACTCAGGTTTGATCCCCGCCGGAACAAATGAAATTGTTAATTGCAATATCAAGTGCTGATACGCCCTGTGCCGTTGAACACAAGGAAAACAATGCGAGGATACCTGTATGTCAGAGGAATAAAGTATTTCGAGAACATGTAAAATCAACCAGCACGCACTGGAATAGTGTTGCCCTATAACTTTCTCAGAAATGAAAAGAGGCCTGTGATCACCAGTCGACGTTAATAGTATTGGAGATCGTAATAAAAAAAAATATCTCACATCTTTGGCGCTCCTTCTCATTTCTCAGTACGGGTTCTAAAATTACGACAGTTGTTTCGTAATACTTCAAAATTTTGCTAAAATCTTTATTAGCTTTATTAGAAATGACTTATATTATAATGAATAATTATTAAAAAAATAACGAAAGAATGTGCCAAAAAACTAAGACTTTAAATATTAAGTCACTCCTTTATCTACTAATAACCAAAAAATATAAGGACTAAAATATAGGCTTCGTTTGAATGAATTAATAGTGGTGGATAGCGTTAAATAAAGCAGTGATGCGTCATTATTACTATTAACATTTGCATACTTTTCATTTGTAATAAATAGCTCCATAGTTGATAGGAATATAAAAATGTAAAATGAAGGAAATAATACATTAAAAGATGGGTTTTAGTTTTTAAACAGTGTTAAATTGCAAAAACACACAAGCACAAGCTAAATAGATTCTAGAAAATTTATCCACCAAAACTTAAAAAACACGTTTTAATAATAATCCTTAAAACTGGAAGTCACCCCTCGTTTTCTAGAATAGTTCTTTACCTAAGAAATTGCCGTTGTGCAGTACTGGCTATTTGAAATCAAAATAATTTTTGTTTCGCTAAGAATTCTAATTTCAAAATTACATGATTTTATTTTAAAAACATCAACTCTTTTTTTTAAAATTCGTCATTTTTTATTTACATACATAATAAGATAAACACTCACGTCACCCAGAGGGGTAGGCAGAGACTACAGACTTCCATTTAGCACGATCCTGACATACCTCTCTCGCCTCCTGCACATCCATCTATATCTACGCATACATGCTCGTCGGTTAAGGGTACTCTCAATTTAGCCCATTTTTAATATATCGCCAAATTGGTCGACAAACTTTCGCCTAGGACGTCCCTTTCCGACTCTTCCATTCACTTCTGCAACATATATTTGCTTTATCAGTCTTTCCTCATTCATTCTTTCTACATGACCAAACCACCGAAGCATTCCTTTCTTAATCCTGGTCACCGCATCATCTTGCAAACCACACTCTTCTTTTATCACACAGTTTCTTACCCTGTCACTCAGACTCAGCCCTAACATATTCCTTAGCGACTGCATTTCTACTGCATTTATTCTAATCGCGCGTATTCTAATCGTTCTTCTGACACACCCAACTTTCACTACCATACGTTAAAGTAGGGACTAAAACAGCATTGTGAATTACCATACGTGCTTTTTCTGACACATTCCGACTATTCACAATAGAGTATAGAGCCCCATTTACTTTATTTTCTGCATTCATTCGTCGTTCAATATCCTTGTCATATCTCCCATCCCTGTTGAATACAAATCCTAAATATACAAATTCATCTACTTGCTCGACCATCTCATCATTTTTTATTCTCATCCTTCATTCCCAAAATTTTCAGTGCCGCTCTCGTAATAGCAAAATCTTTATTCATCAAGTCAAATAATTCAGAGTATCCATTTATTTTGTACATGTTTTTTCAAAAGGCATTACCTTATCGAAAAAGAAAACTAAATTTCAGCAAAGCATCGAATTACATTCAAATTTTTTACTTACGAATAATTGGCGTAGCTAAGACATTGGGTGCGTTTGGCAGAAAAAAGCGCTAGCAAGCGCTTGTAAGCAAAATGGCGATCGTAAGCGGTAAGCGCTGTCAAATCGTAAGTAGCTATTTTCCTCCAGGACACGATGTTAGTTTTAACCGCGGAACCTAACCTAATTTAAATATATGTTTCTAAAGTATTCATATTAAAAACTTACCAATCATGAATTTTTAATAACATTTATATGTCTATTCATGTCATTATATTACTTAAAACTAATATTGCACAAAACAACTTATAATTTCTACTTCAAAACAAACAAATTAAATAAGCAAAATGGCGGATTGTGTCAGCGCTACTGAAGTAGCAATCGTGTCCTGGCCGAAAACTATTTTAGCGCTTGTAAGCGCTTGCTAGCGCTTTTTTCTGCCAAACGCACCCTATGTCTATCACATAGTCTTAGCTACGCCAATTATTCGTATAATAAACCCATTAGATGTTTTCAACAGCATGCAATTTATATTTGACGCGTGGCACCGCTCGCTCTAACACTACCATGTATTACACAAACATCGTCAAACGCAAATCGCTCGGCAAAGTGGCGATAATGTGGTTGTTTATTGGTTAAGTAGAAGGTTGAAAGTGGCGTGTACCTGTTGTTGCAACTCGGCGGTCGGAGTAGGCGCCTCTGCGGGTGTTTGCGGGGTGTGGGGCGCGGGCGCGGGTGCGGCGGCGGTCGCGAGCCGCGGCGCCGGCTCGCCCGTCAGGCTCGTCAGCGCGCGGTAGCACGAGCCCGGCTGCAACTGCTGCAACGGCTGCCACCCACCACCGCGTCAGTACACAGCGACAGATACCCCGCGTACAACAACACACACACACAATAAGAATACTACGAAACTGACATTTCGGTACGCGTTGTGCGCTCACTTCTGTTGCGCTGGTTAAGAGCGTGCATAAATTAAATTAAGAAATACATATTGTAAACGCATTCTGTCGTATTTTTCATAAAATAAATTCGTAAGTAATCTGTAAAATGTCGCGAGACATGAATTCCGACGTATTTTATTAACTTCACTGATCGTGAAGCTGGATTAATATAATATTTACTATCAAACTATACCTATTCATTCCTATACCTATTCATTTAAAAAAATCAATAAATACAAATTTAAATTTATTTTTTGTTGACGTGTATTTGCTGATAGTACAAAAATAACGGTTAAAGAAATTATCTAGAACTTAGATCCTATTCTTATCGTGTGCGCGCAGTAAAATATACTATCGGAGCGTAGCTTCAAATACGCTGCAATATGCGTTGTATAGCGTACTTATTTCCAACTGTGATTGTTTGCTTATTATTATGTCGTTTAACTATGAATACGTTATAATTGACTAAAACTACTTTTACGGATTTTATCGCGTTTATTTTTACTTTTAATTATTTTTATTTAATTCCCGACGTTTCGGGTGCTTTCCAGCACCCATGGTCACGGGGGACTGAGGTGACTGACGTCCCGATGTCATTGTTAAACCCGGAGTACCTTCAGCTTTTTTAATTATTGTTTATGGTCTGATCTATGCAAAATGAACTGATTTTGTCCTGAGGTCTTGCAGTGTTATGCTTGGGTTTAGTTTTAATTTTATTGATTATAGGATCCCAAGCAGATGTTAGTACCCAGCCTCCTTCTCTATTGAAATTAGGATGTTTTTTTTAATTTCAATAGCCTCACGTATCATCCTTGGTAGGAATCGGCGTTATTTCGCGAGGATTTGTGGTCTATCAAATCTGATGTAATGGTTGGGGCCGTCTAGGATATGATCACAAACTGCAGACTTCCCGGAACGATGATGCTTCACATCAGCTATATGTTCTTTTACGCGGGTTCTAATTTGTCTGTAAATAATGATAATGTCCCAAATGTATGTTTTCCGGCTTTTTCAATTCCCAGTCAGTTTCTTAATTTGCTCTGAACAATAAATTCCAAAGGTGGAAAACAGTGTTACCACAACAGCTGAGAAAGGTATTGCACCAAACAATTGCTTCACCACTGGAAAAAAATTTGACTGTTCCTCTTCACTAAATATATTTTTCTGTGACATCCACCACTCTTGTGGTGTCACATTTTTTACTATTTCTTCTGCAAACATCACAGTTCTAAATGGTTTTGATTTTGACTTAAGCTTTACTATCAATGGTATCTAAACTGAACCATCATAGTGATTTCGTGCATCCTTCAACGCACTTTCTTCTTCTTCATCTGTCAGTGTGAATTCTGTTTGGGTTGAGTCTAATAAAAATGCCAGAAAGTGACTGTGGGACATTGCTTGCTTATATCTTTTGAAACTTCGACATTTGCAGTTGCAGCTGCATATAGCCCGCCAGCCAGTTTTGCTCGTGCTTTTTTCTGTGAAATGTTCCCAAATACCATCTCTTTGGTGAGGCATTTTATTTATAGTAAACTAGTCACGCACGCATCACAGCAATAACAATAGTAAAAAATTGAACTAATGAATGCTTGTTAGAACGAAAGTTAGACCATAATTGGTAGCGAAATGTACAAAATACTACATGGGGATTTCCCTTTTGCTTGGCATTCACATATCAGACAAAAGGGAAATCCCCGCGCTGTGTCCACTGTCCACGCAAGCCCTTGAGGCCCTTGTTCCATTTTGCGCCAATATATAGTTAAATTAAATTTTTGATTTTTTCATGTTATTAACATGAAAAAATCAAAAAATCGTGATAAATTAGGATTTTTTCTAACCCAGCCTGTGGTATAACTTATTTAATAGAAAACGGAATACTTTAAACCAATTCAGGCGTGTCTGAAAAACAACACAAAACCCATATACGCGTCGAATATGGAACGTAACTCCTCATTTTATAGTTATTTAAGAAATGATTAACTTTGCTTTTGAAAGTCTGTTATTGACTTATTGATAGTAATATAATAAATAATAAAAGTGTTAATATTTGGGAAGCCCCGAAGTAATGATAATGGAAGATGTCTTCAAGAATAATAGTCAGTCAGATCTATCTTAAGTGTATAGTTTTGTGGTGGCTCAATGTTTTATGAAAAATATTGACTTTCTGGAAGCTGAAATTAGTGAAAAAATGCAATGTGTGCTTTACCTATTACAGTGTAATAATTTAATCACTAGGTAGGATATTCGCCCCATTCGTTGAATGCGGTTTTATAGTTTGAAAAATAACATTGTTGAGGTCATTCATAAATTATTGACTTTTATACATTTAACTATAATATATGTGTGCCATTTTGTTCGATAACTTGTTGCCATCTTATAATCCCATTGCTGTAGAAATCTTGGGATTTTTGATCAAAAAAATGCGACAAGTAGTTTTGACAGTCCTTTCTAGATGTTAACTTAACACTACCCAAAGAGTTCTGAAGAGACCGAAACAGGTGAGAAAATCTGAGGGTGCGAGGTAAGACCTATATGGTGGATGCATTAACACTTCCCTACCAAGCTCTCTCAATTTTAGCTGAGTGCCCAAAGATGTATGTGGTCATGCGTTATCATGATGAAAGACCACTCCTTTTCTTTTGATCAATATCGGCTGTTGTTTTTTAATTTCTTGCTTAAGTCTCATTAGTTGTTGGCATTAGAGATCCGAGTCGATGGTTTTGCCCGGCAGTGAAATAAACATACACAATGCGCTTCCAATCCTGTCACGATACACACAGCATCACCTTATTGCGTGTTAATCCGGGTTTTGCTACAGTCTGTGGAGATTGACTATGCTTTGACCATGATCTTTTTCACACGTCCTTATAGTAGGTGATCTACTTTTGCATCACTAGTGATCAATCTTTTAAAAAATGGTTCGGTTTCATTATGTTTCAATAAATGATAATAACTAATATGGCGATCATGCTCCACTTTAAAAAAAATGGCATCGACTTTATCCGACTGCATCTTTGACATCAAAATTCCCTAACTGAAAATGCTTGAACGAACTTTGTGCTTCTCTTACTGACACTGTATTAGTTATTTTTTGTAATTAAACTTCAGAATGTATTGAATTTCTTTGAAAAACAATTTAAAAATTGGCGGATAGGCATTTTTTACTTATTATTTTTCTTTTTCTTAATGTCCATTATGTATTGATATTAAAACAAGCCAAATACAAACTAAATAGATTTTTACAATTAAATTACAAAAACACACACAAATTACAAAAACATTACAAACAAAATACGAAGATACTTTTTCCCCGACCTATTATACAAACACATAATATTACGTAGGAAAAAATAAAATCCAAGGCCCGCATTCGTTTATTTTAAAAGTTGCTGAAGTAAATTTTCCTTAATGAATAGCGGTTTCGAATAGTTAGTTTTTTATAGTTATGTATATATTTTTGTAAATAATGACTACTTTCTTGTTAATAAATTTGGATAAAACTGAACAACCAATGTTGGAATGTGGAATCTGTGATCAAATATCTATCGGAATCATTTAAATTAAGATTATCTATGGTTTTATGACAAATTACTCGTCAGCTTAAAGAAAAATATTTTATTACTATTAAAACAAGTAATAAAACTGCAAATACTTTTAGCACAACGCAATGTTAATTTATTATTATTTGTTATCAGCAAAAGTAATTAAGTACTTATAAACGATATGCAAGGGTAATAAACTTGTATGAAATTGTGTTGCGTATCGCAGCGAACGCGTCCGTCACTACGATCAAGCGCCCGTTTCGGTTTTATCAAAAACTTTGGGCTGAAGAGCGCATGTTAAACTTAATTATCTCTGTAAATATGTAAAAAAGAACAGTATTTTTACTTATTTTATGTTGATTTATGACAATTATAACAAGCGATCACTCATTATATGAAAACACTCAAATAAATAACGACCTTGAAAAGTATGCAAATGGTTGAAGAGCACAGCGTTTATAAATTAGCGTCTAATTTAGAAGCGGAAAAAAAAAGGATCACCTTGGGGTCGACAGCGACGGCCGATTGTGAAGTGGATGACGTCGTGTTGCAACTAGCCACAACCTCCGGTGTTGTGATGCAACTAAACGGTATCGTGGAATCGACCTGAAAATAAAATACTCTCATAGCACTTAGGCATAACGGTCATCATTTCAAACAAAAAATCATAACTTTTAATAAGGGATCCTACCTCTTTAGTGTAATTAGGAGTTATCACTTGTACGTCAGATAATAAACTGTCTGCTCTTTGAAACAGATTCTTGAATAGAAGTACAGTAAATGCCGATTTTCTGGCCTTCTTATTATCTTTAGATCTCTTCATTAACTTTTGTTCCGAGTTAAGATCACTAGTTTTCTCTAATTTATCATTTTTTTCTTTAGGGATCAGATCTTTATTATTAACGTTAATTAAGCGTGTAGAGTTTCCTATGTTTGTGTTAGTAGGGGATGAAAGAAAACTAACTGGAAGTGTTAAAGCGATATAAGTATTATGCAATGGTTCTAAATCATATATTTCTTCAGCCACACAGTCCTGTATCTGTTGACTATCACTTTGTAGTTTTGCGTTTTCAATTTTTTGATTCGTATCCACTTTACACACAATATCACTTATAGTTTTTGAAGATTCAATGTTATCTTTGATAGTGTTTGTTGAAACAATCTCTGCTGACTTATAATCGAAATCTGGAATCTGATTTTTCCTGATATCTTCTATAATTTTGTTTTCAGTGATAATAGCTTTGTCAGGATCAGATTTAATACACTCATCTTCTAATAGTTGGAATAATTTTTGTTGGTCATTTACAAATTGTGAAAACGTACTTTTGCCTATGGCGTCATTGGAGATAAAATTAACCATTTCTACATCAGAATTGGATTGAAGAGAGTTTATACAAGCTTTTGTTATTTCGTTAAATACAAAAACATTACCGTGTCCTGGTTCTTTGGTTGTGTTTTGAGGTTGTTCATTGTTCTTTGAAATGTTTTTCAAACGATCATCAACCATTTCCTTATTATGTGCTGTAGCTGTAAAAGATATTTCTGGTTTTTGATTATTTAATACTTTCTTTTGAATCATACATAATTTTTTTTCTTTATAGTCGGTTTCGGTTGAAGAAATATCATTCATTTCAGATTTTTCAGTGAAATCAAAAGATTTTTTTATAATTTTGCCGATTGTTGTGCATCTAAAATTTCTGGGGTTGTTTGAGGATAGAGTTGGGATGATTAAGTTTTTCTCTATCTTGTTATTGTAATAACTGTTCCTTGATTCAATATCACACCAAATTTCGGAATTTGGTTCAAGTTTGGTATTATTTTTCGCTCTTTGGTGATAACTTTTATTTTCGTGTTTATTTGTTAATATTTTTACTTTCTTTGTTGCACTTGTACTAGGTTTTATCTCAAATTTCTGTAAATTTTGTTTTGATGGAAATAGGGTCAAAGTGTTCGTGTATGTGTTATAAACGCTATTGGTAACAAAAGTTCCCATTTTTTGAAAATCCTGTAGATTTTCTACAGTTTTATTATTTTTATAATGATCTTGCATTGTATTACAAGGCAAAAAATAATTGTCTAAGCCTTTATACCAATTCTGGACATTCTTTATCCACATTTCCGAATTCATATACTTTTCTACTGATTGTTTTTGCTTAGTTTCGTATGTATTATTTGCACAAAAAAACTCTTTATGTTGTGAAAGAGATTCATTGAGATCGCGTGATATATCTGATACATCTGCCGTATTAGTTTTTGCTTCCAATTTAACTGTTTCGTCAATAGAATATGCCTTAGGTCGCAATGCATTCATTAACCTCGCCTGGCTTCTTATCTCTGGGTTATATAAGCGAGCCTTCGTGTATAATCTATCCGGGGGGCCGCACGTCACCGGTCCTCGGCTCTCGGCCAGGTCTGCGATCTGATGACGATGAAGATTCCTGTTATGATGGAAGCGTTTGTTGGAACGTGCGTTCGCGCTAGGTGTTGTACGCACCTGATTGGATGGCGTTGTGGTGGTGACGGCTCGGCCGGAACACACGCTGCTGCTCCCGATCTCGAGTGTCGCCCGCGCCGTGTATGTTATTGGGAACATAGGCTTACTCCTTCTGCGGACAATACGACCACTACGTGTCAGAGGCCACGTCATTTACACCAAACATCTAGTGTCGTACACTCTATGGTTTCAAATGACTTTTGCACAGTCCGAGAAAGAATTTATTCATTTAGCTATTTTTTGTTTAACTTGTTTTAAGATGGTTTTATGTTGTTCATAAAACAATATATAATCGCAATGGAATTAAAGAAAAGAAAGTTAATTTTAATATTCTTGCATATTGATTTATGAAATCACTTATCAGAACATTTACCTCAATTGCCATAGGTCATTAATTATATCAAAAATATCCATTACAATAACAATCTATAGTACGTTTCTAGGGCAGGCGGAAAAAAGTGCATTGACCTTTGACGATATCATCGGGGTAGGCAATCTTTTTTGTTTAGGTTCATTTTTTTTATACTTTTTTTTATTACATACATCATCAGAGTGAAAGATGAGGGTGCCGAGTGCGAAGTTCTTTACAGGCCCTATGTCTATTATTATATAATAAAGAAAGAAGATTATCCTGTACCTAAATGAATTAAAAAGCAAATTAATATTAATTTAAGTTTACCATTTATAAATCATGAGTTATTACAATTTTCATTATTACGTTAATAGTAGGTAAGTACTTTAATAAGTAGGTAGGTAGTTGTATAAAACATAACCACTTCTTGGCAGTCAGATAAAAAGACGAACTTTTAATGTTAAGTATTCTTAAGCAGCCAACCTTGAAACACGCATAAAACTTCTCATAATAGATTGTCAGAGACACTTGACAGACTATTCATCTGTATCTATTTCAGAATCATTTTATGATGATGAAGACATAGAAGAGTACGTCACATTGATTATAACCTAAAATATCGGCAGTCTTCTTTTTCATATCCGTTTTGGATGGATATACGTCACTAGACTACGTTTTTTTTACATATTTATAGATGTTTACAATCATTATTTTTTCTAATTTCCGAAATATGCGAGACTTTCCGCTTCTTTCGTGGTGACGTAAAGTCTTTATGAGATTTTCATGTCGATGGACTCGATTTCATACTAGTGATAATATACAAAACGTAACAACATAATCACAAAAAGTCGCGGCCTTTGAGTGATAAAATAATAAAAGAACTCTTACACGAAGATTCTGATTCCGAGTCAGTGATTGGTAGCAGGCCTGAAGAAGAATGTTGTAGTGATAGTGAAGTAATGAGTAATTGTGAAGATACAGTATCACTTGATTTGTTGAACGATATTCAAGACGTGGATTCTGATACGGAAGCGTCTTCCTCAGGAAGTGAAAATGAAAATGTTGCAGGGCCTAGTCAGTCCAGCAGCTACTATGGGAAAAATAAATACAAGTGGTCTAAAAACCCACCAGCACCTTCACGTACTCGTCGACACAATATTATAGCTCAAAGACCTGGTTTGGTCCAGCTGCATCTAAAAGTTATATTAGTACCAAAGAATCGTTTGAATTGCTAGTTGATGATAATATTACATAAATTATAAATAACTACACAAACGAGAAGATTACTGAGAATTCGGAAAAGACTACTACGGATGCATTTTGGATGAACCACGTGTCAGTAACAGAGATGAAAGCTTTTATAGGTCTTTTGCTGTTGACAGGAATGTTCAAATCAGGACATGAAGACGTAGCATCATTGTGGGCTACAGAGGGAACAGGTCGTGACATCTTTAAAGCTACTATGTCTGGAGAGATTTTTGTTTCTTTTGTCAAATTTCGGTTTGATGATATTGCATCGAGAGAGGAGCGAAAAGCTGTAAACCGCGCAGCACTCATTTCTGAAATATTTGATAAGTTCATAGAAAACTGTCAGAAAAATTACAGTTGTTCAGAATATATTACTATTGACGAAATGTTATGTCCATTTCGAGGCCGATGTCTTTTCAGGGTGTACATGAAATCAAAGCCTGCTAAATACGGTATCAAAATATTATGTTGTGTGATGCTAAGACTCACTATTTATATAACGCTTTCATATATACCGGCAAACAGCAGGAACGCATCAGAGGTCAACCATCTATTCCTACACAATCCGTACTACAATTGGCTTCCCCGCTTTTTGAATCAAACAGAAACATAACAGCAGATAACTGGTTTTCCTCGGTGGAGTTAGTTGATGCATTACTCGAAAAAAATTTGACCTACGTCGGGACTTTGAGAAAAAATAAACGTGAAATCCCAACTGAATTCCAACCACATAAGCATAGAGAAAAAGACTCTTCTCTTTTTAGATTTCCAGCTAGAATAACACTATGTTCTTTTGTACCAAAAAAAAATCAAAGCGTTATAATGATTTCTTCAATGCATCATGACAAAAGTGTTAATGAACGTACAAAGAAACCGGTGATTATTGAGTTTTACAACTCCACTAAAGGTGGAGTGGATTCTTTAGATCAAAAATGCGCTAATTACTCTGTAGCTCGCAGAACACGACGTTGGCCAAGTGTAGTATTTGCTGGTATTCTAAATATTGCCTGTGTAAACGGTTATGTGTTGTGGAAAAGCTCAAATATTGAGAAAAAGATGAAGCGAAAGGACTACATAAAATCTGTTGGTATAGAACTCATCAAAGAACACATTATAAACAGAAGAGTTGATTATTTAAAGTACCCAAGAGATTTGCGTGATAAAATTGATAATTTCTTAGCAGCTAACATGGCACAATTACCCTCGACGTCTAGTTTTGCTATTCCAAGCCAAAACGCCTTGAAAAGGGGACGCTGTCACTTATGCGATAGAAAAAGAAATGGGAAATTTGCTACAAAGTGCAATAATTGTTCACAATTAATTTGCAAAGTCCATGGTAGCACAAAACACTATGTGATAATTGTCTAGACTGAACCAAAGTTTCATATTAGTATTTTTGAGTCTTAAGATTAAAAGTGATTTATTTCATGTTGATTTTTGTGAAATTTTGATTAGAGATTATAAAACGTTATTTGTTTTTTAGTTTACGTATTATAGATTAAGGAAAATAATGTAATTTTTGATTTTAACTTTTAAAACTATAATTTTCATTAATATTTGTAACGTAGAAAAAAATATACCAAAATGTTGATACTATTTTGTGATCTCTTCTAGTATAGAAATAAGAAGGTTTATATTAATAAAAACTATTTGATTACATAAAACAAGCCTATTATTTATTATTTCTGATCATTTATTCAAGTACATAGTTAAAACTTAGTTGCTAGAAGCAAACATACTATGGGGGCCGCACGGCCCCCACGATACCAGTTCCGTATGTCAAATTTACGATACCAGTTAAGGGTTAAATACTTAAGGTCAATGTACTTTTTTCGGCCTGCCCTAGAAACGAACTATACTTTGTATTGAGAAATATCAAGAAATAACAGTGAAAAGTAAAAAGTTTTGTTTAACATCATCTGGCATCCTACGTAACGATCTGTCTAACGAATAACTGGTTAACAGGTCGTCAAAGAGACATATACATTTATCCCTTACGTCTTCGTATTATTCATTAAATAAAGCCTATCTGACGATTGAAAAATTGAATTGTTTGGCTTTCCGTCGAATAAACGCTATCTATCTGTCTATAATATAATATAGTTTTTTTTTAAATCTTTATATAGACTATAAAGATTAAAAAACAGGGCCCATAAATACATAAACGTTTTTATCTCGGCTTTAAGAAACGCTGAGGAATATTGACTGCCGCTACGTTGTTTAAAGACGCGGTGAGCGATGATTTAACTCATTACGCATTTCTAAATAGCACATAATCACAGACGTTTTTAATAACTGATTTCACATATATTATTTATGAACAGTTTAAATTTGTTTTATAGAATAAGATGACAAACGAGCAGATAGTCCACCTGATGGTGAGTCGATGCTGTAGCAACACAATTAAGAATCAAAATGGAGGCAGTGAGAGTTTCCGGTTCTTTCCGGAATTTTACCACTAAATAACTCAGAACCTTTAAGTTATTTAGTTATATTACTAAATGTTTAAGACTTTATTGTGATAATTTTTGTTTCTTTTAGCGTATCCCAGTGGGGGACATTACAACTCTGTGCCGTGACAACCGCCATAACCGCGTCGTTTTCGGGCGGCGTCTATTCTATCCCGATCTCGTTCACAGGAACAGCTACGAGTACAACATTCCACGTCGAACACAGACAACTAGCACGAAGACGATCTTCATTTTCCGCTCCCACGCTGGGAATAACGCAAGCGTATATATACCCACCTCTGTTCACTACCACCGCAGTAGAAGTACTTAGCTGTCGCTTTAACTTACCCCAGTAGATATTAGCTAATCATAGTAACTTATGTAACTGGCCACATGGTGCTGAGGTGCTGTCATAGCACCTTATCGGAGTCAATGCTAACGAACGACATTGCCAACATTAACCAAACCATTTTTACGTAAATAAAGATTATTATTATTATTTTGTTTTGTTTAGTATTCTCTCGTGACCGAGGTATTATACCTTTTTCGCGGGCTGTTAGACAAACGAAATCGGTTAAGTGTTTAATCTTTAGACAGGAACTTACGAATTATTCTGCAAGTATTCAATATTGCGGCTTTCTGTAGTGATATAAAGGTGAGTTTATGGATATCTAGTTCCTTTAATCTAGAAAAAAGTGAATGGGGAATGACGATAGTTGCTGATATTATGATAGGTATAGTTTTTACAGTTTTTACTTTCCACTGGGATTTTATTTCGATGGATAAATCAGTGTATTTGGCTATTTTTTCATTGTAGGTAGAGATCAAATTGTGAGTGTTTGGTATAGCAATTATTATTAACCATATAGGAGCGTACCTGCTAGTGTCGGGGTCTGGTGGTCCGTTCGCGTCGCTCGCGGAGACGCGTCTCTCCGCGAGCGGTGGAGGGTTGACACAGCGCACCGTCGCTAGGTATCCACCGCGCGTCGGTTCCTCACTCAGCATGGACGCTGCGCAACAATAACAAGATTGTTTACACGCAACAGCAATACAAGGCACGGCATTTCGTTGCGTTTGTTTTTATTTATTTATTTAACTTCATATACACATTAGATGTATATAGACGGACTTAATGCCTGAAGCATTATCTACTAGTCTACTTTAGAGTAGTGCAGAGATAAAAGAGGTAGGTGTAATAAGAAGTATGTACAGCAATTCATATTCACATAATAAACATTACGTAAGTTATATATATATATATATATATATATATATATATTAAATATAATATTAAACACGGCTAACTACGAACGCTAAGTTGATTCTGCCATTTTATTGACGAGCAGTTCTCGCACTTTAGACTTTTGAAATGCTAGAAATATTTCAAGAACCTTAGTTGATGGCGGTTAATCCTCAAAAATTTTCTTCATTCTGTGTTTCGAACGCGTATGGAGTTGACGTGCGACTATTAACCGAACAGTATAAATTCATTCGTATTTCAAATAGTTAACATTGAAAGTGAATTATCTACAAAAAACATCTTTACAAGGTGCACATTACCATACTGCAGTGCTGTGACTCATATAGGTCGGAACTGCATAGTACGCAGGATAATTTGCATACAGAGATTGTACAGTACTTTTAATCAGATGAACAGTAAAGTGGAAGTTAACACAGCCGAAGTAAGTGATGCTTCTTTAAATAAATAATACCTAAAGATCCTTCCCTTCTTACTTATCAGTCACCTCCTCAATATGTCACATTTCGTAAGTGCTTGGCCTGTAACTCCCAGCCAACTAACACAGCAGATTTTCCCAACTTTCAAGATAAAATTCTAAGCATAATGGAAAACTGGTTTTGTAGGCACGGAGAAAAAATGTCAGTTTATATTAAGCAACTGAATGAGATTAAAGATTCTATTGAATTTATAAGTAGTAAATATGATGACTTACACAAGACATCTGTAGCCTTAGAAAAACTTATATCAGATTTAGTATCTATGATCAAATTGCGAGGTGAAAATTAAAACGGAATATAAATTGGGGGGCCCAGCCCTCTCAAAGTACACACGGAACAACACTCACGTATTTGTAATGTAGAAATTAACACTTTACCAGAAAACGTAACGAAGATTTAATCACCATTATTGAAAGTATTGCAACTGCTGTCAAACATGCCACCATGTCTAAAGACATTGTTGCCGTTCATCAGTGCTGGCCATCCAAATCCCAAAAACATTATAGTTAAATTCTCTCTCTGCTTAAATGTTACATCAATATGCTTGACACTATGGTTGTTTACAACAATCTGAGTATTTACTACAATTAACAACTTGCACCCTCCTTTCATCTTTTACCCAATTTTTATATTACAGATGCTTTTGGATTTTACATTACTTATTAAATTTCCCATGACTTGGTGTATATTATAAATATATGTTATATTATTTGTATAAGATACATAAAAAATAACCTTATATTTTTAAATATAAATTCGATAAAGTATTGCTGGAGGAAAGAAAAGCTTTGTTTGTCCTTTTAATATTTACTAAATATAAACCCGTCAGAAAAGTTTTCAAAAAAGAAGAACTTGCCTCTATTAGCGAAATAGCTAACTTATTGTTAATTGCGTCTTATAACCCGTGCTTTATTGGTTTCCTATTATGACTTCACATAATACTGATACAATTTTACTATATGATCAAAATTGTAGGGAACTCCGGACTAAGTTGAACACTGTTTATGTGAATATATTATCGGCGTCTTACGATTTAATAGTTTTAGCAGAAACTTGGTTAAATCCAGTAATTGCTAATAATGAATTTATAGATTACCGATACAGTGTTTCGTTGCGATCGAGACCGAATTGCCCGTGGGAAACGTGATGGAGGCCGGGTACTAACAGCTGTAAAAAAAAAAGATCTATGTGCAAATCGTTTTCTTTTAAATACAACCATACTCACGGAATTTAACAAATTCAACTTGCGTCAATTATATTTTGTTGGAGATTCTAGTTAAAATAACATAAGACAGTGTTGCCGCTTTTTAAATACTTCCGCAACGGCCGCCTGAAGTCCAATATTTTATTAATGTCATTGGAGGCTTCCAAAATAATTATTTAAGAAGTCACAAAGAAAACTTATAATAATTTATGATTAGTACTTTCAATGGAATTGGAATGGAATTATTTCAATCCGCCTTTTTATACTTTTTTATTTTTACATCTGCGCATCGGACGCGGGGGCGTCTGTTGCGCAGATAGAGAGGTGTACGCGGAAGAAAACTCCTCTTGAAAGTTACAGTGGCGGACCGCCAAGCATCCAGATGGTGTGGATGGTATCGGGACGTTTGCCGCGTAGTGCGTTCACGAAATTTGGCTGCTGGGATTAATCCGAACAATTCCTCAGAGCACTCTCCATGGTATATGCGAAAGAAAATGCAAAGAGATGCAACATCTCTTCGCAGTGCCAGTGAATCGAGCCGATCGGAAAGCACTCGGTCGTCGACGATTCGAGCCGCTCTGCGCTGGATGCGGTCAAGTGGAAGGAGCTGGTACTGGGGAGCCCCAGCCCAGAGATGGGAACAGTATTCCATGTGCGGCCGAACCCGCGCCTTGTAAAGTTGCAGGCGGTGTGCCGGCATAAAATACTGTCCCGCTCTGCTGAGCATGCCAAGCTTTTTAGAGGCGAATTTAGCCTTCTCTTCCAAGTGACCACGAAACTGCACGTCACTCGATATGTCGACGCCGAAGATTCCGATACTGGCTGAGGCAACAAGGGGAGTGCCTTGAAACTGAGGAGACACGACAAAGGAGTTCTTTTTAGCGGTTAACGCGCAAACTTGTGTTTTCTGGGGGTTGCACTGGACTAGATTTAGTCGCCCCCAATCCGAGACTCTGTTCAGCAGACTCGACTTCAGACACAAGTATGTCCCGGCACTCGGAGACAATTTCCCGAGAAATATTGGCTCGGCCGGTGTAAAGAGTATCACCAGTGCATTCATCTGCATAGCAATGAATGTTACGGGTTTGCAACATATCATTGATATGCAGAAGAAACAGCGTTGGCGATAGCACGCAGCCTTGTGGAACACCAGCATTAATAGGCTTGCAATCGGAGCTTGCACCGTCTACAACGACCTTGATGCCCCGATCTGCAAGAAAGCTGGTGATCCAATCGCACAATTTCTCGGGAAGCCCATAGGATGGGAGCTTCGAAAGAAGCGCTTTGTGCCAAACCCGATCGAAGGCCTTCGCAATGTCCAAACTAACGGCCAATGCCTCCCACTTGGACTCTACTGCCTCCGCCCATCTGTGAGTTAGGTAGACCAGAAGATCACCAGCTGACCGACCACGGCGAAAACCGTATTGGCGGTCACTAATCAGCTGGTGATCCTCAAGGTACCTCATGAACTGGCAGTTTACAATGGACTTCATTGTTTTGGAGAACAAGGAGATGATGGCGATAGGCCTGTAGCTGGACGGGTCTGATCGGTCGCCTTTTTTAGGGATCGGGTGTACGAAAGCCGTCCTCCATGATTTTTGGGACTACGCCTAGGGAGTAGGAGTACCGGAAAAGACGCGTTAAAACCGGTGCCAACTCTGGAGCACACGTCCTCAGCACAATTGGGGGGGATTCCGTTAGGCCCACTCGACTTGTGGATGTCCAGGGAGAAGAGTGCTTTGCGAACCGAGCGCTGTGTGAACTGCACTGCACCGGCATGGAGCACTCACACCGCGGGATGGTCGGCGGCGTACTCCCCCCGTCATCGAAAGTCGAGTTGGACGCAAAGAAAGAGCCTAGAAGCTCGGCTTTCTCCTTTGGGATATGGGCCAGTGAGTCGTCCTCCCTGTGCAGAGATGGAAGAGATGGCTGACAGAAATTCCCCTGGACAGCCTTGGGGAGAGACCAGAATGTACGGGTTCCAGAAGGAAGGCGAACTAGTTTCTCGCCAATCCTGTCTATGTGCTCTGACTTTTCCTTGGCAATGACTCTTTTGAAGGACCTAGAGGCGGAATTATACTTCTTTTTTAGAGCGCTGGTGTTTACATCCCGGGACGCTGATACGTCAGCCCAGGCTTGGTAGCACTCCTGCTTATAGCATAATGTTATTTTACAGGAGCGACCAAACCATGGCTGAGATTTGCCTCCAATGGGCACCAAAGATGAAGGAATAAAAAGTTCCATACCCTGAAGTACCACAACTGCGACAGAATCCGCAACAACGTTGGGATCGTCCGGCGAGAAGCAAACCCGCCCCCAAGGGTAGGATGCAAAGAAAGACCGCATCCCATCCCAATCGGCTGACCTATAGTGCCAAACACGGCGGCAGCCTGCAGAATGCAACTGCGATTTCAGCGTGAGTGGCACCACACTCCGAACAAGACAATGGTCCGAGGAGCCTAAAGGGGCGTCGACGGTAATCTGATATCTGTCCGGGTAAGAGGTCAGCAGAAAGTCCAACAGGGAAGGTGCATGATCCTCCATATCTGGAATCCGCGTAGGCGAAGTAACCAGTTGTGTCAGACCATATGCCAAGACAAAATCATGAACAAATCTCCCCGCATCATCGGTTAAACGTGAACCAAGCCATGCGGCGTGATGGGCGTTAAAGTCGCCGAGGATCACGATCTCTGCGGAGGGGATCTGCTGTAGCAATGAATCTATAGCCATTTGGACGTGGTCGAAGAGTTGGTCTGTTTCGGCATTACCGTTATGGGACCTATAGAGGCACCCGTAGACGCGCGGATGGTCGTCGCTGTCTGCGCGTAGCCAAAGGATGGACAGGTCTGCCGAGGCGTCGAGAACAGATGTCCTCTCCGACGTAAACGCAAACTCCAGCCCGAGGCACAAAGGAGTGTTCCAGTTTGTACCCCGGGTAGGAGAGATACGAGACATCAGCGGGAGAACACACCTGCGTCTCGGTCAGAAAGAGCAGAGCCCACCTCGCGGTCTCGAGATGGTAGTGGACGGCGTTTAGGTTAGAGTTAAGGCCCATGATATTGCAGAAATTCACGGACAGCGTGGCAGGGGTCGCCTTGGTCTTGTTGCTCCGTTTGCCCCGAGCAGTTGTAGTCGTGAGCGGAATTTTGCCCCCCCCCCCCCCCCAGAATACACGGGGCAGCCTGAGCACCCACGCTCAAAAGTGGAGAAACATGGTCGTGGATGCTCAGCGAGGGATTCTCCAGGGGTGCTGGTACCCTCCTGGGGTAGACTATCTTCATTTAATTCCGCTATTGATGGGGGGGGGGGGATTTGGGCCTCCGGCCCCCTGCACTCACCAGACGAAACGCGGAAGCAGAGCTTCCACTTCACGCTGGTATTCTGTGAGGTCGTGGTACCACCCCGGTTTGAGCCGGCCCATACGTGCAACAGCAAAGCTGCCGCGTGGCTCTACCACTGTAGAGCCACGCGTAACACATGTGTTTATCTATCCTCCTTGTCTCGCTATGGCTATGCCGCGCAAATCTGTTTTGAAATACGATTTTTTTATAGCCAAATATGATGAAATTAATGGTATCATTAAAAAGCTGACTGCGTTTTCTTATTTTACAGTATACATCTGAATAGGCTGTAAACACATTTTACGAAAATATTTAATTATTGAAAATCATGTTCCACTACACATTTAAATCATCAGGTTATCCTATCTGGTTTTCACGCCCACTAATACACATATATACAAAAATAAAAATAAAGCTTGGATAATTTTCCATTTATCATTCCAGATTAAAAATTGAATGTATGCTTTGCTGTTGCAAATACATGAATACCATTGAAGATGGCTGAGGAAAAGATGTTAAAAAACTTTTGCAATACAATCATAGTCGTAAAGATAGGTAGTATTCCAGATAATATCAAATATAAACAGGAAGCAACTAACCTACCAGACTAAGCTTGTAATCTGCTTTCAAGTTTCTTTAAATCCGTATTTGAACCATCTAACTTATATTTTCAGATAAGTTTACACCTGATAGATTCTTTATCAGAACAAAACAATTCAAGTGATATACTTATTTCTACGATAAATTTGGTAAAAAAAGAACTTAGAAATTTAGATGTTTGCAAGGGATCTGGACCGTATGGCATTTCTCCTTTCTTCCATAAGTAGACACAATCAGCGGACACAATCTGTATTCCTACGACGATTCTTTACAATAAGGGCATTCAAGATGGCGTCTTTCCTGCTATTTGGGAAACACCCAATATCACGCCTATTCATAAAGAGGGGTCCAAAAACTACGTAGAGAATTATCTCAATCAATTCAATCTCATTACTATCCGTATTGTCGAAGGTACTCGTATATGAAGGACTAGTACATAACGTTATTTATCCTGTCCTTCACAACATAATCATACCACGAACAACACGTGTTTGTTAAAAAACGATCCATAGTAAGCAATCTCCTTGTTTATACTACATACTATTTAAAAAAATATGGTAGATCACTATATATTACTTAAGAAAAAAGCTTTTGATGGGATTCGTGGTTATTTGATCAGATAGTTTCATTCTTCCATTGCAAATAGAAATCAGACAGTTGATGTTAACGGCCATTCATCTATCTCAATTGCTATAACACCTGGTGTACCACAAGGTTATATTCTCGGTCCTTTACTGTTTATTTTATTTATCAATGACATCAACAACTGCTTTCGCCATAGCCAATTCTTACTTTACGCTGACGACCTTAAGGTATACCTGCCACAATACTAAGCCATGATGACAGCATTAAGTTGCAAAGTGATCTTAATAGCTTAACGTTGTACTAACTGTACTAAAAATAAACTACAGCTTAATGTTAATAAGTGTAAATCAATAACATTTACAGAGAAGCGCAATTTCATAGAGTATACCTATACTATTATTAATATCACAGAGTTATGCAAAGTGGACCTAATTATAGATCGAGGAGTTATACTAGACTCTCACTTTATATATTTGGTATTATTATTCGCTCTTGTAGTGAATTCGCTAGATCCATTTCATATACAGTCAAACTTGGGTAAGTGAGAACTGGATACGTGAGAACTCTATAAGTGAGAGTAATAGCCAGGACCCATCATTTTTAGCTCCCAAAACCTCTATTAGCGAGAAACAGAAACCTCTGTAAGAGAGAGTCGTTTTTCGTCATGGACCTCCGTAAGTGAGACTGCTACTTATCTATACCTCTATAAGCGACAGTCGAGCTTTATTTATTTATATTATTTAGGAGGAACTATAGCTACAATAAAAATACATAAATACATAAAATATACACACATACAGTAACAAATAATAAAACAAATTACAAATTTAACATCTGCTATTTACGACTTATTCTTAACTTTCGTGGAACTTCCTACCATAGTTTTTGTATTGTTTTCTCGTTGTGCATGTTGTACCTATTCTATTTCGTGGAACTAAATAACGTTGTTATTTTATCGCATTCTTTTCGAATGGACACGTGTGCCTGTGTACCGTCTTGTTTGTCGGACTTACTCAGTTTATAGTTAATCAATTGCGAAGGAAATACAGGTATATGTTGTGCATATTATTGACCTAATTTTACATACTACATATTTACTACATTCGTACTTGCTGTGACTTGTTATTGCTGCATATCTCTATAAGAGAGAAACGCTACCCATGTACCTGCATTAGCGAGAAACTCGGGTTAGTGAGAAACCTCTATAAGCGAGAATGTGATTGTGCTCCCTTGAACTCTCGCTTATCCAGGTTTGACTGTATATACTTGTTTAATTCTCTGTTCAGACAGATTTTAGAGTACGCCTCTATAGTATTCAACTCAGTATTCAAATATCCTCTCGCGTTCCAAAGGGTTCACAACGTATAATTCTTGAGAATTACTCGCATGAACTATTTATGACAAAAATCTATCATTCTAACACTGGCCACCTTCGTTCCCAACAACAATAATAATAATAATTCTTTATTGAACACAGAATTAATATACAATTCATGGATACCCTGACTTCTAAACTAGGTTACCCTGTATATTAGGAGGCAGTTTCCCTCCCATTCAGTTATCTTACATTCCGTGTACAATGCAGACTCTAAACATAGATCAAGAAAAATAAAAAAATAAACAAAATGTGTATGCATGCGTGCGTGCGTGCGTGCGTGCGTGCGTGTGTGTGTGTGTGTGTGTGTGTGTGTGTGTGTGTGTGTGTGTGTGTGTGTGCGTGTGTATTGTGTGTGTGTGTATGTGTGTGTGTGTGTGTGTGTGTGTGTGTGCTAAAACAATATAATGATTGTTTTAGCAACATTGATATTTTTACTGGCTCACATTTGTGCTTTAAAATATATTAAGAATAAATTACAAGTGTTACAAATTAAATATTTAATTTGTGCAAGATTCTTTTATACTTTTTCTCTTCAACTCGTTACTTATTGTTTATACTAATATGTGGTAAATGGTGCTGAATGTACATACATCATTTTGGATAATACTTTTAAAAAAAACCTTCGTACATTTGTTTGTATATCTTAATAAATAAAACAAAAAATAAAAGCCAGACATAAAATACCCAAACTGGCGATGGGAAGCTGAGTTAAAGGTGTGAGACGTTTGCCTCTGCGCTCGCCGGTTTTAGGGCCAAGCGTGGCGATTATAAAAATATTCTATCTTATGGGTGAATGCCATATCGTTCAGGTAGATTTGATTGATTTTGTTAATACAAGTAAATGATGCGTTATTGTTGTGCTATATGCATGAAGTAGTAGTAACAAGGGATTAAAAAAAATTATACAAAATAGAAAAAGTTAATTAGTTAATCAATTTTTTATACTTGATTTTTTTTTAATGAAATATCAATGGAAATCAATGGTTCTGTCACAGAATGGTTTAAAAATTTCACTAGAGAAAATTACAATGTTTAAAAATTTCTTGAATAGAAGAAAAGTAATACACAACGATTAATATTAAAGTTACTGTTTCATCGAAATATTCTATACTATGGACAGGTGTGTGTAATGGCAAAATCCTCCTATGAGGCAATCTATGGGGAGGCCTATGTTCAGCAATGGACTTTTATACGCTGCAATGGTATGGACAGTGTATGAAGCGTGTGTATTTCGTGTGAGAACTCACATGTGTCGACGCCGGAGGGCAGGCTGCCGCCATGGTGCGCGCGCGCAGAGACGCTGGCGGGCGGCGGGTGCGCGTGCGCGCGCTGTCGTGGCGCCTCCGCGGCGAGCGCGGCCGCCATCAGGTCCTGCAGCGAGTTGGAGTGCGGCAGCGCGCGTCGCCCGTGCGCACCGCCGCGCCGCGCGCCGCGAGCGCCCGCTGCGCCTCCAGAGCCCCCCGCACCCCCCCGCACACCGCGCCGCCGCTTCGCACGCCTGCTCGTCCTGTTCCACCTCCTCCAGCAGCTCCTGACCCCCAAAAACAGTCAAAACATTGCTTATGCAATCAACTTCATGCTAAATCACTAGTCACTACTATACCCAGGGGATCGATTATTAGTCGTTGTGTAACAGTGTAATCACTATTATTGTAATCGCATTACGCATACTATGCGTGTATAGCAAGAAAAGTATCGCCGTTATTGACTGCCCTTATTGTTACAGCTTACCAAAGTAAAATTAGGAATGGGAAGTATATATGGCTATGTTCCACTCACAGGATTCCTATCATTTCAAAAAAGGTTTTAAAGTAAGGAACGGCCCTGACCCAATGCATGTTGACGGATTTCATATTATGTCTTTTATTTTGTTTTGTATAAACGATAGTTAGATATAAGTCATACTTACATCAAAATGATCTTCACAGAAGAATAGTCTAGTTTTTGTAGACAATGTATTCCGATATTTTCTTGCTAGTTTTAACCAAGTATTTCTTATATTTAAATCAGTTGGCAATTGAATCCATAACTTTCTCGGCGTTATTATGCTCGTATTTTTGCATTCAGGCACAACACAACAATGATATAGATGATAACTCATTATTAAACATTAAAAAGTATCTTATTCCTTTGCAAAATCGGCAAAATTCAAGGACAGTGACCACCGACAGTAAAATAATTAAAGGTTTTCAATTCGGAATTTTCACTTTTCAAAAATTTTGTATACATTTTACAAAATATGCGCTAAACGTTCACAAAGTATTTCTCGCCTAATTTATTCTGCTTGTTAGTAGAATAAACAATTTTTTTAATCGTAATATCTACACATTACAAATGTTGCACGATTATGGTATATCTTAATATCCTTTACGTTCGATATCATTAGATTCAGTTTATAACTTGGGTGATATGATCGGTCGGATTGTTAATAGAGAGCAGCATCACCATTTTAGGATAGCGGTTCTGCGATCATGAACAACTATCCAATGAAATAAATATGAGCAAATGTTTCAAGTTGTATGTATCTAAAGCATTACTGACATACAATACAATTTATAATTGGAAGTTACTATTTAAGTACCAATAAAATAAATATAAAATACCTTGAAAAGACTGCTTTTGCCTTCTCGGTCTTTTGGGCGTTTGTACGCTATAGCCTCATCCAAAAGAGCGCGCAACTGTCCGTCGTCCAGAGCCCCCACGTGTTTGTTATTCTGGAAAAATACAAAACAAACCCAATGTACGTGTGTAATTTATACAATTGTTTAGATGATTGCAAATGTCCAGTCAATCAAGCCACAATGTAAAATCGGGTCCATTAGCTACAGAATTTTGTTAACCAATTAAAATAACTAGAACGTGGTAGTGTAAATCGCACCCTTGATATTCTCTAGCGGGACAATGCTACTTACAATTAATTTGATAAGTAAGCTGGAATAAAAATATTGGATTCAGCAAGGCAACAACACTTTATTATGTATCAAAACAGCTTATTGAAGTATAGATTTGCCCATACGTGGACTTACTACTCATGTAAAATCCTAGTCTGACGAAAGAGGTCACCGTCAACGACAACGCGAGAAGTCTAGTACAGTTGCCATTTTGGCAAACAAGTGGTAATTATTAGAAATCCTCTCCACTATGGGAGCGATATATTCATAGTAGAATCTTTTTATATCCACTACATCTTTACTGAATATTTAATTCAAGTTGAAAACCAACGGCTGACATAATCGAAATCAAGTAGTTTTTAAATTCTTCCTTCTTAATATTATATTTTTTTGCTAAATTTTAAAGTAAAAATAACAAGTTAAAGTTGTCAGTATGAAGAATAGTTTTTTGGTTATATTATAATAAACTGAATACGTATACTACAACCATATACAACTATAAAACCAGACTATACGACTATACAGTCAGAGCGTGTTGCCAGTGATGACCTATGGAACTGAGACGTGGTTCTTCACTGCTGGCCGTATGAGGACGCTCAAAGTCGCTCAGCGAGCTATGGAGAAGGCTATGCTCGAGGTTTCTCTGCGTGATAAACATAGAAATGAGGATATCCGCAGTAGAAGCAGGTGACCGACACAGCCCAATGAATTAGTAAGCTGAAGTGGCAATGGGACGGCCATATAGCTCGAAGAACCGGCAACCGATGGGAAAAAAGGTGCTCGAGTGGCAGCCTCGTACTGGTAGGCGAAGTGTAGGACGACCCCCCACTAGATGGAGTGACAACCTGGTAAGACATGCAGGAAGTCGATGGATGCAGGTGGCTCAGGACGTGCTTTGTGGCATAACTTGGGGGAGGCCTATTTTCAGCAGTGGACTTGTTAATATATAGTTGTAAACCAGTGTTTTATTTACATTTATCTAACTTATTATCTTATGCAAATAAATATAAAAAATATTTGCACATAATAGGTACATTATAATATTTCTTATTCTTAACCTTGCATGTTATAGCGTTTTTTTTTTAATTTAAAATAGGTATGAACCTATTTTGCAATTTAATTATTGCATCGTTAGTGTTAAGGAATAGGGGAGACACGCACCTGAAATTAATTTAATTGTAATAATTCTAGAATTCCGTAATTAATAGACATACCTTTCTGATGATAATACATAATATGCAAAGTAGACAAAAAATTGCAAACATACCAACAGTCAGACTAGAAGCAAATATTTGTAGACCAACAAACACCTACTTGTAACGAGCAGGAATGGAACTTGCGACCTACAGCGCAGCACTATGATCTAGATCTATGATTAGAAACACTTTTATGATAAAAACCACAGGATCCGAACCATTACGCTGTTTTTCGCATCCTCATTCTGTATATATACTGTATACATAGAGGACACGCCAAAAATTACATATGCGTTAATTGACAAAGCCGAAACTGATATTAGTTATCAACACCGATACATTAATATCAAGGCTAACAGTTAAAAAGCAATATTCTTATCTTACCAAACTATGACCGTCACGATTATGGACACAACAAATCGTAGTGAAAAAATAAAAACCTCTTTACGTAGTTAGATGACATAGTTGAACTAAGATGTTGTTATTTTCTTTTATCAGAATATTATTATCATTAAATTCAGAAAAAAAAATACAAATCCAAGAGCAATAAAAATAATAAATAATAATTATAATTTGAAACAGACGCTAAAGATTTATTAATATGTCAAACTGCATACATTAAAAAAAATTAGGTGTGAAAGTAATGATCAATCACAGAAATAATCTTAATTTCCTTTCGCGTTTGTTCGGTTCAGACCGACACGACAGCAAAAACTAGAAAAGCATCTTAAGTAGCACAAAGCAAATTGTATGTCGTTACAGTCGAATGAATTCTGAATCACTATAATCAAGGTTGCCGGAGACTGCCGAATCGGATATCGGATATAATTTTAGGGATAACTTGGAAGATAAGTTTTATGTTTACATTGTCTTTTTTACTATACACACAGAGCGTCACGCCTGCAATCTCTGAGAAGGTAAAAGATCGGACTACTACATTTAGCAAAAAAAAAAATTGGATGAAAAATTGTCAGTGATAGGTGGCATCGCTTTTACAATTACAAACACAAATACCATTAACCTTTTATCAAATGCTAGGCAAGTAACAGAGATGCTTCTAACCATAGAATACTATAATACATACATAATAGAGCGCAGTGGGCGGAGCCCGTGTAGCCATTTACAGATCAAATCACACCTATTAAGTATTAATGTCAACACAATCAATCGTTTAACAATTTTCGTGTCAAGCGTCGTTGTATGCAAATTAAGTATTTAAAAAATGTCAAATTGTGCAATAATTACGTTTTGAAAGAACAGTGGGAAATGGAATTTAAATAAAGGAGACATATCCTACAACCAGTAAGTCGAAACTATCTATATTTTGTAAATTTTAGAAAAAAAAATAAAGAAATATTGATGTGTAAAAACATTAATCAAAAATCTAAAATATGTAAATTCGCTCAGCCTGTCAATACATCGAATCGGGTTTGTAGTAGTGATAACACGACGTAATTGCTTGTATGTGTGCTCCCGGCGACATTGATCCTTGTACAAAATAAGGTTAACAGCCATTCTATTGTGTATTATAGTATTCTATGCTTCTAACCGACCTCTAAAAAGGAGGATTCTTTATTCGTCTTTTATACTTTTTATGTATGTTTGGGCACAACTTCTTTGTTTATGAACAGGCTTTAATCATTCTTCTTTTATTAAATAGGTTATATTTAGGGTGATCCCATATAAATTTTACTCTTAAAATAAATAAAAAATTATATTTACCCCTAGGAAAACGGTGGTGGAATATATATGGAATGAAGTTTTTCAAGTTACTATTTTAATATAAATAGTCACAAAAAGGTAAAAACAATAAAATAATTTGCACATAATAGCTTCTGAAGCGTGCTTTAATTTAATTCTACGATACACTATCCCTTTGAACTGACCACAGGATACCAACCAACGACTGCAAGTTTTTAATATTTTTACTTTTAGAAGTGGGTCTTTAATTTTTTAAAGTAAAGTTGATTTTTTTTTGTAAGTCCTTACGCGTATGCATAAACGTGAATCATGGCAACATGGGCAATTTCATAATTAATTGTTTTGTAAGTAAGTATGTTACAAAAAATCTGGGGGCACGGCAGTGCCCCCGCCAAGTCGAGCAAAAAAGCGGCACGGCCGTACCATCTTTTCTCGAAGCAATTCAGGTCATTTTCGACCCCCTATAACTTCGTGGTCAATAAAACTAGAAGCCTGAATTTTCAGTAACCGAGTAAGCATTGTATAGATATGGTATATTTCAAATTTCATTCAATTTGAACCAGTAGTTTAAGAATTGTAACCAGTTAAACTCTCTTAATTTTGTCACTCACTGACTGACCGATCATCAAAACTCTAAGGCACTTCTAGCAGACATAGAAGCTTCAAATTTAGAATGCAATTAGTGTTTAGAGTATAAATCAAGGAAAAACTAAAACATTTGTTAATTTCTGTCCAGTTTTCTAGATACACTAACTGCATAAATAACTTTGTAATCCCTTATAAATATATAGAATTACAAAGTTACATTTGCAGTGAATGAACCAGTGTACTTGTATATGTATTACAGGTGTACATAGGTACGTTGTTGGTACTCAAGAAGTAGAAGGTACTGGAAAGGTAAAAAATTAAGACTATCTTATATACAAAAAGAAATGAGATGCAATTAAAAACATAACTTGTAAAAAAAAACCAAGTCTCGCAACTCAGTTCTTCTACCGTAAAAAGTTGTGAGATCCATGTAATACCAAGTCGGTTAATTTATTCAGTTCCTACTTAAGGGTCCTTCTGTTTTAAGTTATTACGTAATTACCTAACCTAACAACATTTTATAGTGACCATATCAATTTTAAGTCTTTTATATTTTAAATATATAGATTGACTTGGCAATCGCATTTTTTCGCATTGCTAAGATTTCAAGGATGTCACGCATCGGACAAGACACCGGAATCCTCTTCGCCTTAAAACCTTTTAAGGAATGAGGTCATTAGAATGTATACAGGGTGCTACTTTAGTTTACTTTCTTATTAAATAACAGACATACTTCTATTACACAGTACACATCTAGTTCTAAGTTTTATTTCTTTTTTATATAAAAATTATATTTCTCCATGAATAAAAACTGAGTGCATCGCAATAACTGCTAGATGCTTCGTTATTTTTAGATTAAACTTCTTTATAAAATAAGATATCAGTTTTTGAGCCATGATGATAAAGTACTACATATCTTAAGAGATCACATTGCTGGTCAGATTTACATACTTACTCCAGTATGGAAATGTACGGATATTTAAAAAAATCAACACTAATTTAAAATTGCTCCAGGTTTTTTTTTCCAATTTATCTTTTAATAAACAGCCCGGACTCAAGCTACTTTACCTATAAAATTTAGAGGTATCAGTGTAAAAAATCTTTCTAAGTTTTCATTTTTTGCCTTCCTTACTTCCGTGCAGTGTCAGTAATTTATGAAACAAAATTTTAAATGATATAATAGCCTTAGGCTTTGCTGTACTCCCAGCGAGAATATTCCACTTTAAGTTAACCAAGCAGACGTTCGACCAGTCACC